CAGATGACAATCAGAGGTCATGCCTGCATAAGCAAGGGGCATCGGTTTGACCTGTGGGGCGAATAGATCTGGTGAAATTGGTGCCTAAACTGTAAAGTCTCTCCCCCTGTTATTGCAAGAGGTGCTTAAAGCGATCTTCAAATGGAAACTTCCACAAGGGTTTGACCTGGTTCAGCTAAAGCAGTGCAAGGGTGCGTGTGTGTGGGCACACCCTCTGCCCTGGCAGGGTGACTCAGTAGGTGACATTTATGTGAAAATGAAGAGAAACATGAAGTTAGATTGAGCAGGTTCCTTTTTAGACCAAATGCACATGAAGTTAGATTGAGCAGGTTCCTTTTTAGTTCAAATGCCCCGCTGCCATAGCTAAGGTGGGGGGATGCATTGACTGGGGAAGGCTGATGCTCCTGCCAGGACTTAGAAAACCCAGAGGTTCCTGCCTAAAGGGTCTTGCTCTTCTGCTTGGGGACCTACCAGTCACCAGGTTTGGGGTCAGGAAGGAATTTTCCCCCTTGGTCAGGCTGGCGTGAAGCCAGGCAGAAGGCAGTAGTACCCTGGTGCCTTTATGGTCTGGTATGGACAGCAGGGTTTTGCTTTCCTCTGTAGTGTGAGACCTGGTCCTCTCCCCAGGGTCCTTTTTGGCCATTGCAAGTGGCAGGGTGTAGTCCATGCTCTTGCTTGTCCTGCTCTTGTCGACAGTCTGTTGTAGGGTGTTCTTGGTGTTCCTGGCTTTGTGCCTGCTAACGTTTGCCTTTGCATGCCAGGGGCTGGACCCAGTACCCTGGGAGGTCCCTCTCAGTCCTGTATTCCCATGACAACAGCTGCCTGTTGGACATGGGTCGGTTAGATACGGGGTGTATGTGGTAATGGGGAGGGTATAGCTAGCACGCCACCTGAATGCTGGGTGCAAACCTGGTGTGATTGCACACCAAAGGAATAGAGATGGGGAGGAGGTAGCTAAGGAAGGGTGTTGCGTTAAGCAAACTTCCTGCTGTAAGAGCCTTGGATTGAGCCAAGTTTGGTTCAGAGCATCCCCCAAAGCTGGGGGTCGGGGGGCAGGTGAGGCACTGCTGTCTCCTTGCTCCTCCATGGCTGGAAGAGCCAGAGCCTGGTTCACCTTCCCCTGAGCAGTATTGCCCAGAGCTGGTCCAAGTTACCCTTCCCGTGCACCGCCCCACCTTGCTGCCATGCAAGGCCGTCCAGCGAGGTTTCCAGCACAACCTGCAGAGAACAGCACACCGTGGGCAGGGACCATGGGGCTGGCCCTGAGTGCATGGGCTATACAGACCCCGGAACTGTCCCTCACTTCTACCCTCCTGAAATGTATGCATTAATGACCTCCAAAGTGATTTGACACAAAGCAAAGCTCACACCCGGACTGCATTTAGCAACTTGTCCTCTCTCAGGGCAGCTGCATCCCTGATGCCGAAACATGAACAGCAACTCTGCGCATGACGGCCACAGGACTTTGCAGAGGGGTGCAGGATGGCTCTCAGCTGGTCTGATCCAAAGCCCGTTGCAACCCCTGAGTGCATCTCCACTGACTATGCACCGAGTTCCTAACGGACTGAGGGGCCACGTTCAGTGCAGGAGGCATCTTGCACCGGTGCTAAAGTAAGGCTGGGACAAACCATGCGATAGATCAAGGCAGGACCCCCAGGGAGGCCACAAGCTGATCGTGTTGTGCTTTTATATCGGTGCTTAAGTATCGCTGGTTTCTTATGCAGATTGGGGGCTATTTCCCCTGGGCCGGTTTCCCGGGAGAGCCCCTGGGATACCTCGATCCTCTGTGCCAGAAGGCACAGGCAAAGCTCCTGCTGACGACTACAGGGATTTGGCTCATGAACTGCCCCAGACTGATATTGGGCTGTGCCGCCCTCGGAGATTGCAAGTACCCTCCGTGGCTGCCATGGACTGGATGCCTGGGAGGGGTCACCGCCAGCACCCAGGCCAGGAGGTAGGCAAAGGTGTTGAATCTGCATGTGTGAATGTTAAGTGACTTTGTGTGGAATCTGCTCATGCCAATATGTGTATAGCTTTCCTTTATGCTTCCAAGATATTCTGTGCCTGCCGCTCGTGTCCACATTTAATTGTCATTTATTTGTGAACGCCTTGGACAAACGTAACATAGGCAGCCAGAGGCACCTGCCCAGGGGCCTACTATCAGATGGCACGTTATCAAGATGCAGCTGTTTCTCTGTCCCCCTCCACCCGGCAAGGTTTCTTTGTAAAGGACAATGAGCTCCGAGCTCCCAGCAGCTCCCAGCTGAAGCCCTAAGCAAGGAGGTCCCCGCTGCACTGGGGTCCGGAGCTGAGGGATGCACCCCAGGGAGCAGATCATGACAAATCAAGTCCTGAGCGATCGGCAGCAGCGGGAGGGATGCACTGGAGCAACCTGCATCCTTAGAGCATCTCTGAGCCCGCAGGGCTGTGTCCCCCCATGCCCGCCAACCTTTCCAGCCAGTCTTAGCATTCATCACCATGCGCCCCGCAAGGCGGGGTCCGGGCTCGCCAGGCAGCCAGAAGTAAAGCGCTTCCAAAAGCCACATGAATGAGAAGGGAAGCTGGGAATCCGCTCTACCAAGTAAAGCGACCCCCTCACTCAATCCACAGCTAAATCCCCGGTGACATCAGGAGGGCTCTGCCTGGCTCAGAGGGCTGCAGTTGCTGGACCTAGTCTCCCCGGTGCCTAGCCACTAAAACCTGCTCCAAGAGCCAGCCAGTGCCACGTGAGCAGCACACCAGCGGTGCTCGGAAACCAGGAGGACCTTAAAGCTGGTTTACACCTAAACCTGCACTCCTCAGGGGGCAAGAGGATAGTGCCCGCGGGAACGGGGCACAGGGTCTCAGAAGAGCGATGCCCCAGGGATGAGGGCAGTGCTGGTTGGAGATGGGGAAGACTTGCACCCAGACAGCCCAGGGGCCCTACGGCAGATCACCTGGTGTCTGTGTCTCAGTGGCCTAGAGCTCCCCAGCCTTCCCAAGGGGCTGAAGGAGAGCGCGGGGAGAGCCGGTGAGCGGGGCGACTCATTCCCTATCACTCATGACTCGATTTAGCTCCTTGGCCTTTGCCCCATATTGACCCAGACTAGACGCAGGAGCTGCATGGGCTCAGAAGGGCCTGGCAAGGGACCAGCAGCAGCCTGCTCATGCCACCTGCCCTCGAGACACTAACGGGGCTTGGCTCCGATTGCCAGAAGCAGCGACTGCGCCGCGGTTTTGGGGGCTCAGAGCTGATGGTGCCGCTGGCCACGGTGTGCCCGTTATGCAGAGGGCCAACATTCACGCACAGCACAAATTGCTGGGGTTTCAAACAGGCTGAACACCCACAGCTTCCGGTAATATCATTTACCCTGGGAGTACTCAGCACCTCTGAACACCAAGTACGCAGGCAAGTGCTGAAATACGGCAGGGGCCCGAGCGTGCTAATGTGAGCTCCGTTTCATCCTCCTGGTTTGAAACTAGGCTCAGGACCAGCCACTTCTTGCAGCCCCTGCTCTGTCTGTAGAAGGCCCCCTCGTAAGCACATGGCTTTGCGCGGGGAAGGCAGAGGGGTTTGTGCAAGAGTCCAGGTAGCAGCATCAGCAACCTGTGGGGTACACACCTACCCTCCGGGCACGAGAATCTGACACATCCCCGAACCAGCGTGAAATGGCTGCATCCCATCTCTTCCCTTGCAGTGCACAAGAAAGACTGGCACAGGTTCTGCTTTCCAAGTACTCTCTTTAGAGTCAGGATACAGCACCACGGCCTGCCAGCGAATGTAACATCACCTCTCACAGAAGAGCCAAGTCCCCTGGGAGGTAAAAATTTACTCCTGGCGCCTGTGAGAACTTGGGCCGGGCAGTACAACAGTGATGTTTGCATGAGCTCGTGCTTTAAATATTTCTTAAGCTCCTTCTCTCCTAGCTACATGCACCAGTCATTAATGACAATTCATGCATGTCAATCATGGTCAGGGTGCCCCAATTAAAAAGACGGTTTGTCTCATTTTGGATGTACCCTGTACCGTGCCTTTTCTCAAAAACCTGCTGTCACGACTAGGGATATCTGCTGCCATAAGTGTGGTACTAGACTAATTAGATGTTTGCTTAACGTGAATATAACATGCTTTAATAGCTTCAAGCCAGGCTGTGTAGAACACGTCGGGCAAGAGCACGACTTCCAGCCTGCCTGAATAAATGTGATCGTTAAAGCAAAGTATTCGCTGAGGTTTGTCTATCAAGTAAAAGCCATCCTGGAGAAGGCATGAAGCCCAGCACTGCCTCAAGAAGAGTTAACGTAACAAATCACACCATGTAAAAGGCCTTTCGGAAATATGCTGTCAGGACTTTTTCATTGACAACATTCAAGCTCTTTTGCTTTCCCAGTATATATAATACATTTTGGCTCTGCTCAGCTGTTTATGGTCTTAAACCCAACTTGGCAAAAGCTCACCTGACTGCATAACTTAATTCATGTGAAGCTGTTCCATGCCGGGAGCCTTTGTTGGAGCCAAGTGTCACACATGGATCAATCTCTGCTGGTTCCCACAGGGCCCTGGAGTGCCGTGGTCCTGCACCCAGAACGCTCCTGGCCTGCCAGACCAGAGTCCTGCTTGCAAATCCAGGGCAAGGCATGGCAGGATAAATAACCCAGCTGCATGCAGAGATAGCCGTCTATGCTCTAGGGATCACCTCTAGCACTGCAAAACCCCACCGGGGCGGCTCCAAATGGCTGCAGCAGCTGAATAGCTGACCGCAGGATAAGCTCAAACATCAGAACTGCCTGGTCCAGGACCCCCGCCACAGGCCAGGCCAGCTAGCTTGAGCGGGAGGCACCTGGAGACTGCTGCGTGTGAAGAGGAAGCAGGTGAGGGCCAACGCTCTGCTTGTACCTTGAACTCACGCCCCAGGGAAGACAGCCCTGGAGAACCATTAATCCGAGACACCCTGTCCTGTGCATTTAAGACAATTTGGGTGTTGGTCGAGGAGAGGGTCACACTGGAGAATTGATTATCCACAGCTTTTGTTTATTTTAATTTAAAGACTGACTTGCCCATTGATGGGGGCAGGTGGGGGCATGTGAGAGACGCACACCCCATGCAGCCCTGCAAGTCGATGGGCTCCTCCGTGCAGAGCAACTTGTAGTTCTGGGTGTGGGACCTCACTGGAGAATAAGATCCGCAGACCAGAGTTAGAGACATTCACCGCATTAGGCAGCAAATGCCTTATTTGCACAGTCCAGATGCTCCGGGAGGCTAAGTGCAGCCATGTCAAGACATTCATCGTTACTACCACGGCCCCAGATTTTAGCTCCAACCTGGGACAGGGAGTGCGAGCTGCAGCCGGGGGGAGAAGCTTCAGGTCTGTCGAACATGTACACAGCGAGAACGCAGGTGCTTTCCCTTCCCCAGGACACACGTTCACACATCTGATGCTTTGTGCACACGATCCATTCCTCCCAGTCGCGCCCATGGTCACGGTCGGTGCTGACTGTAGGCCAGTGTGAACAAGGAGCAATGCCATATCCCTTTCAAGTCATCCCAGAAAGTGAGCGGCTGCTTGCTGCCTGGCAGGCTCCATGCCCGGGGCACAGAATCGGAGGCCGGGCAGCTTTCTTATAGTTTAGTCTCCTGCAAAGTCGGTGGAAAAACATACGGAAGGAGGAGGTGCGGAAGATGATGAACACCCAGGGGTCCACGATGGAATTCACTGACATGAACCGCAGGGCGGTGAGGTCCGCTTTCTCATTGAAGTCAGGAGCGAAGGCCCCGATGTAGGCACGCACCTGTGATGAAGAACCAGGAAAGCGATCTTGTTAGCAAAGCTAGAAGCCAAGTTCTGGGTTCTCCAGTCCTCCCAGGTAGCTTTCACCCCAGGGTCAGCCTTCATTCTCAGCTGGCTTTAGGGTTGGAAGGGACCTCAGGAGATCACACCTAATCCAACCTCCTGCTCCAAGCAGGACCAGCCCCAACTACATCATCCCAGCCACGGCTTTGTCTAACCTGGTCTTCAAAACCTCCAAGGATGGAGAGTTCATAACCTCTCTGGGTAACCTCTTCCAGTGTTTTCCTACCTTCCACATGAGAAAGTTCTTCCTAATATCCAAGCTCAACTTCCCTTGCTGCAACTGGAGCCCGTTGCTCCTTGTTCTGCCATCTGCCACCACTGAGACCAGTCCCGCTTTGCCCTGACACCAACAGCACGCTCCACTCTAACCCGCCCCATGGACCCAAGGGTAAGCAATCTGCTCCTGAGCAATGAAATAACAGTTTCCCTGCATACGACTCCACTTCAGACAGCTGCAACTCCAGCTCAAGAGTGCTGGCGAGTTCATACCAGCCGCACCTCGCGCCCTGTTCATTTTCATCGTTCCTCTGCAGACAAGCTCAGTAGCTGGTGTTGTGCTGAGCCTAACTCCGATCTCTGCTGGATGGGCACAGACCGCGAGTGGCTCTGCTGAAGTCACCGTGGAGCTGGACTGGGGCAGCATCAAGAATGGGCTTGATATTTTGGGCCATGCAATGGCTATGAACAAACTTTCTCTCAATTGCTGTGGCAGGTCTAAGATCTAAGCAACCTTTCTGCTCCCTGATCATGGCATCACCAGGGAACTACACAGCCCCTCTAAGCTTTAAGGCCTGATCTCAGTGACCCCAGCCAGCCCAGTCCCATGCAAAAAGCTCCACCAACAGAGGATCAGGCAGGGGCCTGGGACCTTGTCCCCACCTCTGGCATGGGCTCTCTCTGGAGGGAGGGGAGCAGATGAGCTCTGCAGGCTTCAAGCCACCCCAGCACTTCCCGGGTCCCAGGAATCCCCTGCAGCACAGTCCAAAGCGACTGCAGCAGGGAGTGGGGAGGGTGTGGGCTTCACCTTCCCATAGCTCAGGGGATTAACAGTGCAGTCAAGCTGACGTGCAACCCCTGGTAAGAGTCAACCCCTGGTAAGAGCAGCATCCACTTACCAGCAGAATCCTACTGTGCATCCAGGCCACACTCCCTGTAACAGCAGCAGCCTCTTAGGAGCAACATAGCTCCAGGACACTGGCATGTTGCTACTAAAAGACATTATTAACTGCACTGGCTCTGCTTTGCAAGGAGACAGCTCCTTGACTTACTGGCCCTTGGGCCTGATGCTCATTCTCTTTCCACTGGTGTAACTCCGCTTACACCACGGGACTCGTTCTAGATTTCCCCTGGGAGGAGGAGAGACCCAGGCCCCGCTCATGCAAAAGATGGCTTGCAGAGAATATATACAAGCAGCGGGTTAGTCTCAGGACAACCCAAAGGACCCCTGGAAGCTGTGAACTGCGTGGCCTGCATTCAAGTGCACTGTGAGAAGAGCCCTTCTGTCTATGGCAGTGGTTCTCAGCCAGGGTGGCGTGGCATCCCGGGGACACAGAGATCCTCTCAAGGGTGCCACACACAATGCCAGCGCTGTGAGGTGCGCAAACAGGATTTGCAGGATAAACCCAGAGATGTCAAACAGGAGTCCACAGTGTTGAAACCATTCTGCCCTGCTGCAGTCTCCGAGGTCTTTGCAACAGCAGAATTGCTCTGTTACTTTCTGTAGTCGGGAAATGAGTGAAAACTAAGAGCTGGCATTTTCCAAAGGGTGCCTTGAGTTAAATGGCAGGGGTGGGGCACAAAGCCTCATGAGGTTGGGGACCATTGATCTAAAGCCAAGCCTTGGGAGCAGGGACTGGGTTTTGACATAACCTGGGGAGTTGTCTTTGCCAGCGGATTGGGGAGCAACGTCAGGAAGTTCCTCCACTTCTCCAGCCTAAATTTCCCCCACTGCAGCTTGAGGCCATTGCTCCTAGTCCTGTCCGCCACGGCCACAGAGAAAAGCCCATCTCTGTTTTCTCTATAATCACTGTTCAACTAGTTGAAGACCGCTATCAAATCCCCCCAGTCTTCTTTTCTCCAGACTAAACAACCCTAGTTCTTTTAGCTTTTCTTTACGGCTCCGTAGACCCAGGCCTGAGACCCCTGCACGGGGAAGGGAGCAGGGGCTGGGCAGCCCTGGGGGTTTGCACCTCGGCTGTACTGGACCTGAGCCCACGCTGGGCTGCCTGGAAGTGCATGAACAGCCACGCTTGGGAAGGGCTCACCAAGCTCTCACAGCATGTCCATCACCAAGGTATGCTTGTTTTGGCCGGAAGGAGAAATACAGTCCTGGGCATGTTCAAATACCTGTGATTCTTGGGCCAGAGTCAAAGCCAGACTCATTCCTTCCCCCAGCTCCGCTCTGCTGCTTAGCACGTTCTGACGCCATGGCAGGCAGCGATCTGAAAGCCAGTTAGCATCTAAACCAGCTTTCCATTGAATGCGATTATTACAAAATGTACATGAGGAGACTAGTTACAGACAGGCAACGGGAAAAATAACCAAACAGAGGGTTTTTTCCCTGTGCAGGGCTCAGAAAAGGCCCATTACATTCAAAAACCCACACTGAAGTCTAACACAAATGATTGCACTAGTGGGACTCCTCTTTCGTTTGCACTGGGGCAAACTCGAAGTGACCTCGCTTCAGTAAGGAGAAAGATGCTGGCAGGTGAGGAAAGCAGAATCCAGCCTATGCCTTCGAGACTTGCTTTTAAAAATGCCTCTGCTGCAAAACTGCAAGTGCGCTTCTCCTAGAGTAAGTGGGGGCTTGCACGGTTCACAGCAAGCGGCGGGTTGAAAGGCAAAGGTAGCTGAGGAAGTGAGGGATCGAGCTCCTTGAGACTCTTCTGTCTCCTCCCAGCTCAGAAGCCGCGTGTGACGCGAGTTCCCTCTTGCGGGCAAAAAAAACATGTCACATTTGAGCTTCACAGAATCACAGAAAATTTGGGTTGGAAGGGAGCTCAGGAGGTCACATCCAGTCCAACCGCCTGCTCCAAGCAGGACCAGCCCCAACTACATCATCCCAGCCAAGGCTTTGTCTAGCTGGGTCTTCAACACCTCCAAGGATGGAGAGTCCACCGCCTCTATGGTGCTTCACCTGTTCTGGTGCTCCACCGCCCTCCTAGTGAGAAAGGTTTTCCTAATATCCAACCTCAACTTCCCTTGCTGCAGCTTGAGCCCATTGCTCCTTGTCCTGTCATCTGCCCCCACTGAGACCAGCCCAGCTCCATCCTCTCTGCAGCCCCCCTGCAGGGAGGTGAAGGCTGCTATTCAATCCTGCCTCACTCTTCTCTTCCCTAGACTCAATAACCCCAGCTCCCTCAGCCTCTCCTCATAAGCCACATGCCCCTAACCATTCATCTTGCTCGCCCGTGCTGTACAGGGAAGTATTCGATCATCATTAACGCTACTTCTACAGGACGTGTTCAGACAAGCCGTCAGGTCCCCGGGCAGATGGTGGCCATCTCTAGGGCCTCTGGGGGAGCCCTAACGGAGATCAGGGTCAGGCAGAACAGGACTGGAGGCTGGCAGCACAAAGGGTGGGGTTTTAAAAGGTATCTCTGTGCCTATAGATGCAGGTGGGGGCCTATTAAGGATCTCTAAGCACAGAGGTACCTTCCAGTGGGAGATGAGGGCCAAGCAGGGATGAAGGACTAAGCACTGCAGGGCTAAATTTGTATGCACCTGGCCCCAGAAGGGACTCCAGCCCCCTGCACATATTGGCCCGATGGCTACAGCAACTCAGGTGAGCAAGCGGCTGGACAAGGCTTTCAGGACAGCAACTTTGCACCGAGGCTCCAGCGAAGCCCCCCCTTGACGTGACTTTACTGGCCCCAGGTGCCCGGGCACTTCCAAAAGTGCTGGCTGCACTGTTTCAACACCTACAAGCACGTGGCATCCTTGCATTTTACTACTGGGGCACGTTTCATCGGGTGCCCAGGGCTGCGGGGATAGCCATGTTAGCATAGCTGGGCCAGCAGAGCCCTCTAGCGGGGACACCACGCATACCCGCATCCTAGCCCGCACAGCGGCAGGGCCGAGGTTTGCAGAGCTGCCCTGGTCTGAGGTTATTCATCATCAAGACTGTGCCCACCTCTCAGCGGGGGAAAGGGGTCCTACGTGCTGCCACCTACATGACTACCTGCAGCAGTCGCAGTGGAATAGGAGAGTTGTACACACCTGCTCCCAAACCTGTTTCTTCAAACTGGATTTGGTCTGTGTGATTCCCCCTGACCAGTCTAATAATAATTTCTCATGTAAAACAGGCACCAGCTGCTTAGTCTTTAGACCAGAGTGGCGTCTGTGTTGTGTTCCTCAGTCCCCTCTTTGCATTGGAGGAGGTGTTGTGGGATTTCCTTGCTGCTAAAAGGGGTAAAGCGTTGAGATGGTGGATTGTACAGGATGGTTTGGACGGGGATGATCCTGCCTCAGGGCAGGGGTTAGACTAGATGTGACCTCCGGGGGTCCCTTGCAGCTCGACTTCTCCATGAGTCTAGGATACATCTCCTCTGCCCAGGGATGGCTGGACTTTCTCTGCCAATTTAACTCGGATCCCTGTTCATCACTATACATTTAGAGAGGATTTCTTGATGAGCTCTCCACCTCACCTGTCGCTGTTACTTAGCTGGGACTAAAAGATGCTACTGGTAAGTCTCCACACAATACCACTACACTGCACACTTGTCTGCTTTCCTATAAAAGGAGAGGAAAGTCCATAGGGGCACCTGGCCAATTTTTATCATCTCGGAAAACCCTATGAAATCTCTGCTAAAACTATTTCCGATAACAGACCTACCCAACATTGCAGAAGTGATGACATTTACAGTTACAACACCCAGGCGATAAGATCAATAAGAGAATAGGGTTGAGATCTTCCTAAGCAGACAGTGAGGGGGTTTCCTCCATTTGCAGTCTTAGCAAATCTTTAATATCCTTCGGTTTTTTGTTGAGTACATTTAAGGGTTATGCAGAGAAACGTACTCCTTGCTGGGTCACGCTTCTCAGTCTGAACTCGCACAGAAATAATGTAGTTGGAGACAGCAAGGGATCAAAATATACTTTGTAGACCAAAGAGTGTGGGTTTCAGGTTCGATCCCCAGCTGAACTAAATGAACTGAGGGCCCTTCCAGCCTTACTTCTCCATGGAGCTCTATGTCTGCCTCCACATCCTAAACTCTAGTCCAACTAATGTCATGAAATCCAAGGCGCTCACTAAAGAGGACCCGACCTTCTGAAATCTGTCTCCCCACCCAAATTTCTCCCCCTCAAATTTCTATGGACTTTTCAGCTGCTCAAAAAATCATTGTACAGTACTACCTCTCTCAAATACAGGTTTCCTTGTGTTTCTTAAAAGAATGGTTTTTTCAAGATCTGTGGTCTGCAGGAATTTTTCATATTAGAAGCTAATGATAACCTACAAAATTACATTTAAGCAAAAAGGAAGTCAACCTTTCCGAGTCACAGAAAAGAGTGGTTATGGGGGTGTGGGAAAGCATATTAAAAGTATAACATTTACTCTCATTTATATCCTCTTCTATGAAACATCCTTAAATGGATTTTTCTCCAAATTTCATCCCCTAATCACTTTTTTACAGTAAGAACTCTCATTTCCTTTTCATCATGTAATTATAAAAGGCATCTGGGACTATTAAAATGTCCCTCCTTCTATTAACAGGCATCATATAGCTGGCTGCACTTTGACGCAATGACGCACCCTCTCCTCCAGCTGGACCTTTTATATACAAAACAGCATTAACCACAGTAAACAGAGGTCATGAGAGGTGGTTAGCCAGGTTAGCCCCAAGCCAGGCAGGAGGCAGGGCAGGGTCACACCTTAGAGACTAACTGGGTCAGAAAGGCACGAGCTTTCCTCAGTAAACAGGATGCATCAGTATGAGATATATAATAAACTGGGTTTATCCAGTTTCCATCTCCGTATAAAATGACATGTAGATGGCTCCCTATACAAGCGAAGGTATGAATACTGCACAACGTCCGAGTTTGAGCATTTCAACTTGTAAGTTTAACAAAAACCTGTCTCAAACGAGTCAACCCACAGGCACCAGTTAAACTAATGCACGTGGCTAACTACTCACATGCACAAGCACTTGCAGAAACTTCTAAATGAGCAGAATCGGTTTAGTTTTCTGTGACATATATGTGGGCACTGCGTAATGGAAAAATCAGCATTAGGGAGAATGGGAAGGGGCTTCTGAGAAGCCCTGGGATGAGAAGGGTAGGCAGCATTTAAGATGAGAAGGGTAGGCAGTGTTTAAGATGCTCCCCAGAGGGGTTTGGCCATCTCACAGTGTCATACACAGAGCACTCCCTAAACTGGACTTTAAACTCTGCTTTAAAGCACAGGCAGGAGCGGAGCAGTGACAGAAGATGCATGACTTATTCTTCTACACAATCAGCTGCCCGGGTGAAAAATAGGGTCTTTCCAACTGAAGCTCAAGTGCTCCAGGACTTCTCAGAAGTCAGCTCACTTGGCTGCTCTTTCGGATGTTATCGGCAACAACAGGATCCTGCCACCCAAACTGCTGTCGGCTCTGTCGAGGGACTTGGGGGGAAGAGAAAGGAGCCTAGCTTCCGGGAATGGACAGGCATCGCTACCTTGATGCTGCAGGACTGGCCACAGCAAAAAGTGGCTGGGTCTGGGTTTTGTTTTGTTCAGACAACTTTGTCTTCACTTGAAAGCAAAGCACTTGGCCGCCCGCGCTGTGCAAGACAACGGGACAGGCACTGGGTCGGGTCCCCAGGGCTTTCGGTTCCCTCCTTGCTCTCTGAATGATTTCCTGGCATTGTAAGGGGTGGAGCAGGCAAGGGGAGGAAGAAGGGGTCATTTCAAAGGTCACTTCCAGGCCATACCTCCCGTCTAAAGGATCTTTATTACTGAGGAGACCTCGAGGAAGGGCCCAAGTCCCTAATCCCTCCCTTGTTGCCTATTTTAAGGCTGTTGCAGGTGCATCTGGAAAGAGGAGGGATTGCAGTCCTCTGTCCATAGGAAAGGTAGGGCAGTGAGAGCTCCCCTGGAGCCAGAGTCGGAGTCGGAGCCGGAGACACGAGGCTCTGCAGTGCGGCCCCCAGGCTCTTGGCAGAAAGCGGCAACCAAGTGCCAGTGCCGTCACGGCAAACTGGGGGCCTGTCAGTCCTGCACACCTGAGTCCTGTAGCCCATGCTCCTCCCTCCCTCCCTGTGAACTCATGTGGGGCTCTGCATGCGGGCACCAAGCGCTGGGTTCCCCATGGGGCTGGGTGCTCTTGGTTCACACCGACTGCTGGGTGCCAGTCTGGCTCAGCCCACAGCTGAGAGGAGAGGGGCGGTCACTGCCCAGCGCCAGTCAGATGTTGGGGTCTCCACCTCTGCTGCCAGCACGAGGGACAAGACTCCCTGGCCCGCAGCACAAGGCCTCACCCTGCCCTCTGGGAGGGTGCTGATCTGGGCACGTTCTAGCCATGGAA